CAGTATTTGACATGGCATGACATCAGCATACAGACAGGAGCAGAGACGGGCGGGGCCTCTCGTGTTCCAGCTCTCATAGATGCTGAGATACCAGGACTCTTCTCCAGTGAGTGTTACAGCCCTTTGCAGGGGCATTGGGGATCTAGAAAGTCAAGATTCCACAGTCTTTGGCCATGATTGTCACTACAGTGTCTGGGTTTAAGTATGAGAATAACCCAGCCATAAGCAATGGCTTGCAGAAGCTTCCAGACCTAAAAGTGTTAGGATTCCCCAAGTCTTGACAGCAACAGTGCTATATGTCTCAAACTTAGGTGCCTGAAATCGTTGCTATTTGGGGGATGGTAGCTTTCTGATACTTTCAGTTAACAGGGTCTGCAGTTTCTCTTCCCAGGGTCTTTGTGGCATCCTAGCCTTTAACCTTAGCTCTTTGACCTTAGCCCTTCGCCCCTCTTTCCTTCTCTTTCCATCCACTTCACCTCATCTTCCTGCCCTGATCATTGTCCAGTGTACCTTGTCGTTATAGTGACTGCTGAGTCTGCTGTCACTCCTGCAACTACTGCTGCCACCTCTTCTGAGATTATGAAAACCATGAGACACTCGCCAGCTACTTGGCATTTGCACCTCACCCTGCTGGCCCACTCTCTATGGGTCAGCCTCTTCTACGACTGTCAAAGGTCTACTTACTGCCTGAGCCAGGAGGTGAATGGTTCTAGTGTTTGCTGATTCTACAGGGTTGAATCTACAGTCTGAAACTGTAGACCTGCTGACTTTGTCTGCAGTGACTGCCCCAGAACTGGGATAGTCCAAGTAGTTTATTTTCTTTTGACTATGATTTTTTGACTGTTAAACCCCTCTGATTTCTTAGGAGTTCACTCCAGAAACTAATCATTATTCTTAAAGCTTTTAAATTACTCCCCCAAGGAACCATACTGATATAGTTAATATTTCCTATTACATGGTTAGAAAGTAGCTTCAGGCACTGGTGAGATGGCTCAGACAGTAAAGATATGTGTACCAGGACTGATGATCTGAGTTCCATTCCCCTGGATCCACATGGTCCTGTGACCTCCATACATGTGGCTGTACCACAAGCAGCCCCTGCCACACACATACAAAATAAATAAAATGTAATTTAATAAAACAGCTTTTGATAGAATCCAGCTATCCCTCTCTCTCTATTCAAAGTAATACAACTGACCCAAGAGACTCAGTTTAGACGCCATCATTAGAACATCATTAGACTTAAGATGGGTCACAAAATGAACATACAGAAGCCAGTCATTTCTATGTCAAAGTAATTAGAGAATAAAATTGTAACAGGAAACCCATCACAATGGCAAAAAATACATGTAAAATGCCTATACCAATTTACTTGATAAGACAATAGGATGTAAATGAAGAAAAACCATTGTGAAACTCCATCAAAGGACTTAAATCAAGATGAATTTTGAATAAATAGTGTGCCAGATGGTGGCTGCTGTTGGGATAGCCCTTTGTAACTCAGATAGTCCCAAATCTCTGAGACTTTCTGGCTCAATTATTTCTTTGATAGCTCACTAATTGCTCTATTCCTTATATTAGGGGACATTGCTTGCTTCTTCAAAAACCCCTAAGCATTTGTAGAGATGACCGGGGCCTTATGTTCCCCTTGATCAAAGTTAAGCACAATTATTTTCTGTTCTCTTATTACTTGATCATCTACATATTCACTTACTCCCTATTTACTAGATGTTTATTGAGTGCTTACCATGTCCTAAGTACTCCACAGATGCTTAGTGTCCATTGTTTATGCCTGCTGGCAGGGGGTGGCCTCTGGAAGTTGCCCTTGGCTCAGAACATAATCTTTTGTCTCATACCATCCCTGTGAAGCCCTAGTAGCAGTGGGCTATTTTATACAAGGTTTATCATAAGGTTTCAAGGATGCTCTTCGTGGATGAGCCCTGTGGGAGAAGGAATGCAGAGAGACGTGAGTAAAGATAGTATGAGACAAGAAGCAGAGGAAGACTAAGTCCATGGACATCCCTTGAGGGCCATTTCCCATCCCATCCTTTATCTTTCAGCCTCAACTGCCAGCATGGTTTGGAATTGCCTCATCCTATTTTTTTTTATCATCTCCTGTTTATCATGTCAGCCTCTGCCATTTCTAGACCTCCTCTGTAACACATCTCTCCAACAGTAATATTTAGAAGCTCAAGTATCTTTATTTATTTTTAACTAGAGACAATTTAATAATCTCTGTCTCTCCATCTTACTTGTAGGGGTTTATGGTCTTTATTTGCCTAACATAAGGACATCATTAAGCTGTTGTGGTCCTGAAAAGAGAACTCTTTGGAAGACATTCTGATATCCACGGCATATTTTAAAATATTTTTCTTTCCTCTTACTGAATTGGAATTTTGAAGATACCAAGTCTTTTCTAAGCAAATAAAAGAGATCTCCAACTATAATCCCCATATTTTTATTTAATATAATCTCCTTAAAATTAATTACATTGAAATAATTTAAACAACAATAAGACAAATCTCAAAAAGAATGATAATAGAAAAATAACTGCACTAATGGCTTAATATAAACACTGCTCCAATGGTAGAATGAGAAGACAAAAATTGAAAGCACCACAAAGTTCAGAAACTCAATTAAGAATAGAAAAGCATTTAGAAAATAATGAATCCAATATGAAATACCAGGAGAAAAATACAGACAAATATTTTTGTAACAAGAGACCAACAAAGGTCTTTCTAACCATGAGAAAATGAGTAACATTCTTAATAAATTTGTTGTTTAAATACAGAATTCCCACACTGGAGTGAAGCTCAAAATCACTATGCTAAGTAAAAGGAGCCAGATGCAAATGCCCTGTATTGTACAGTTATATTTATACAAACCACCCAGAATAGGCAAATCTAAAGGGACAACCAGTAGATTAGTGGTCATCAGAGAAGCAGACAAATGACTAATAATGAGTAGTGCAAACAGTGATGAAATGTTCTGGAATAGGTAGTGATGGTAGTCAAGCAGCTTTTAAAACTTTATTGCTTGAGAATTTCATATTCGCATATAATGTGGTTTGGTCAAATCCACCCCCCCTTCCTCTGCTGTAATCCCTCCCATATTCCTACTATCACTCTTCCCCTAGGGAGTGTGTGCTTTTCAAAACCCACTTCGTTCACTTAGTATGACAGTTTCTACACACATGTAAGGCCATCCACTGGAGCGTGGACAATCTGTAAGAGCTGACTCTCCTTTCCCCAGAAGTCATCAGTTGCTGGGTGGGACTTTCTGAGCCCTTCCCCATAAGTGCTGTTCTTTGGGTTGACTTCATCTTGTACCAGTGCAGTCACTACCAATGAGTGTACAACAGCCTCATTACATTTTGAAAACACTGTTTTGTGTCAGTCTTCCATTATCTCTGTTTCTTATGATTTCTCTGCCCCCTCTTCCACAATGATCCCTGAGCCTTAGGGGAGAGGGTGTGATATAGATTTCTCATTTAGGACTGAGCACTCCACAATCTCTTATTCACTGCGCATTGATCATCTGTGAGTCTCTGTATCAATCACCACCTACTGCCAATGAAAGCTCTCTGATAAGGGTTCATCAGCTAGTTGTGTACATTAAAGGTGGGGTTTTATGATATATCAATCATGTATCAAGTTTTAAAAGATATTAAGGAAAGTTTTACTTGGGGTGTCTATAAGAAAATGAAAGTCTGGCATACAGGTAAAGAATGATCAAAGAGTACTTTAAGATAAATGATTACTAACTGTATAAAGTATGAATTAAAGCAATGAGATGGAATGTTTGTTTACCTGGAAGCATAAGAAGAAATCTAAGTTTCCATTCTTGGGTAGAATGCAGTCTAAATGGTTATTCTGATACTGGTTCTCAAGAGAAATTTTGTAGCTTCTCCAAAGCTTTATATTGTTTCCCTGCATTTTCATTTCTAGGAACTTCTCTTAAATCAATATTTTCCTCCTAAGTAGCAGGTAGTAAAGTCCTGTTGACACAGCAGCATGCTCTTGCTGCTGGGGAGAAAAGTCAGAGTAAGTATATAAAATACAACAGACATATAAAGTGCAAAGCCCAGAAAGATACATTCCAATGTCTGAGTAATTGCCTCATATTGGCAGGATAATATAATTTGTGCTTTCTTGATTATACTTATGTATATTTTCAGCTAACTATGATTTCCAAATACATAATAGTATCCTTTATGATAATAAATTATTTCTATTTTTTACATTTAAATGTTACTTATTATTTTTGTTTGTTTGGAACAAGGCAGTGATATGTAGCTCAGACTAGCCTTGAGCCTTTCCCTCCTCCTGCTTTTGTATCCTGGGTGCCAGAATTACGGGTGTGAGCCTCCATGCCCAGCTAACAAATTCATTTTGTATCCTGCATTTTCAACTGCGAGAAACTTTCTGGTTCTTGTTTTGGTTTAGTGAACCCCTCAGCAGGAATAAAATTAGAAAAGGCAAAGATCCTTGCTCTTTTCTTGAGAGTAGGCCAGTGATTCTCCACCTTCCTCAAGCTGTGACCCTTCAATACAGTTCTTCATGTTGTGGTGACCTCCAAACATAGAATTTTTGTTGCTACTTAATAAATGTAATTTTGCTACTTTACTGTTATGAATCATAATATAAATATTTGTGTTTCCTGATAGCATTAGGCAACTCCTGTGAAAGGATTGTTTAAGCCCCCACAAGGGTCATGACCCACAGGTTGAGAACCACTTGACTAGTTTGTCAACTATAAAAATCCTTCAAAGTCAGATTCTCACTTTCTACCCATAGGAGTTGTCTTCCAAGGGGGTTAATATGGTTTGGGGATTTGATCAAAGGGTCAGTGATGGTTAACATTATAAATTAAACTGTTTTCAAGATTTTTCTATTTCAAATTCAGTCAGGTATGTACTACCATGCTCATGGTCAAATGGTATTCTTCCAATTAGAAACTTATGCCCCTTGATGTAACAATGTCTTCTCCCATTTTCCTAGACAGAATCATGAATAAACGGGAGGATAAGCAGGACCAGATGATACCATGAAGAGAAGTTTACAGGCCCTCTATTGCCAACTGTTAAGTAAGTTCATGCCTCGTTTGTTCTTTACTTGGAATATGCTAAGGTTATCACTTACTGAGCTCCAGGATCTCTGTGGAGGAAGACCAGGGTTGGGTCATTTTCCCTGTTTCATCTAGATAAGCCACCCTGCATCAAGTCACTCTCATGTCTTAGGCATCCATCATACTGTAGACCCCACTATAATTCTAATGTGACTTAACTATCATTAGATCTAATTGCACATCAAAAAACATGATCATTCTTTGTTCCATGGTACCATATAAGGTGTTTCTGTATGATCTTGTGTTGATTCCTCATGAGAAAGAACTGGTAGATTGTATTTTCTGGATTTTTGTCACATGGAACCTGATAGTCTTTGGGGACCACACAGCCTTTGGCTTGGAATGTGATGCATAGTCATGCGTGTGTCTCAAACAGTGAGTGGAATAAATGTGGTTTCTTGGTTTTGTGGCAGATATGGATTCTGATTTTCTGTGTGTTACTCATGTGTTTTCGGGTTGTGCCATAAAGAACAGTTAATGATAGTACTTGGGTGGAAATAGCTATTGAGTTTAATGTAAAGCCCAGTGCAGCCCATTATTTTGATACTCTGGGCAACTCACTTGGCAAAACAGACACTGGCCACTCCGAGTCAGAGCAAAGCCACTGAGTTGCAAACCTTGTGCATAGAACTCACTGCATCTGTCTAGCCTGGTGGGGAGGCAGATAGAAGACAGGTCTTTCCCTAAACCAAGCAGGGCCTGACTTTTGCTGAGAGAATAAAATGAATCAAATGAAATGATTAAGATGCAAATCACTAGTCAGTCAGCTGGCAGAATTTCTGACCCAGGTTAGATTGTTGTAGCTTGTGCAAAGCTCTTTATCTACACACAGTTTTGGGCCAAGCGTTTTAATTGGCTCATTTCTTCTGCTGAATTCTAATCCTGGAAACTCATAAGGCTTGTTCAGCCTGCTGGAAAGTCGCCAGGCTTTATGGGGACATTCTTCTGTTATTTTTTTCTGTGTGATCTATGGGGCCATAGTGTTGTTCTCTCTCTCTCTCTCTCTCTCTCTCTCTCTCTCTCTCTCTCTCTCTCTCTCTCTCTCTCTCTCTCTCTCTCTCTCTCTTATAAGCTAATCTGTTAAAGAGGGGGCCTTACAGACAAAAGAGGCTATGCCATAGGGAATGATCAAGTCTACCTTGATAGGAAAGGGGACCTATGAAAGATAAATAGAGCCCCCCCTCTATATGCACATATGCTACATCTCAAAGAAGGGGAAGTAGACTTCATTGCAGGAGAATTGGGGTATGGCAAAGCAACATAGCAGATTTAAGAAGTAGAAAAATGTTAGAGGAATCACCTATACTGAGTGTATGTCCTATGTCTGCATATTACTTAAAGCCATGCATTATCTGAAAGGCATTGGAGTTAGGCCTAATGCTACACAGTGTCCATTCTTCTAAACTCGAAACTGAGCACTATAAAAGTTGGAGTGGTCAGACATCACCTGGACAGCTACAGGCACCAATGGTCCATGTTTGCAGAAATGCTAAGGGACTCAAATAGCACTGATGAGGCAGCTCTTTAGTAATTAGGAGTAGGTCGTAACCATCACTAAACCTCCCAATTATTGACATGTATAATGACTCATATATGCTATTAGCATCCAGGTGTCAAGTGTGGTAGTTTGGATGTAATTGGGCCCCATAATCTTATAGGGAGTGGAACTATTAGGAAGTATGGCTTTGTTGGTGTCGGTATGGACTTCTTGGAAGAACTGTGTCACTGTGGGGGTGGGCTTTGAGATTTCCTATGCTCAGAATACTGGCCAGTGTATGAGTCGACTTCCTGTTGTCTATGAAATGTAGGAGTCTCAGCTACTCCTCCAACACCACACCTGGCTTTTATGTAGGTTCTGGGAATCTAAACCCAGGTCTTCAATTCATCTATAACAAGCACATTTTCCTCAGTCTAGTCCAGGCTTGGGCTTGGATCATATAGGACTCCATAAGGATTTATTTTTATGATCATTCTCCATAAAAATCTAAGATATCATTAACCTAAGATGCAATGTTATTTCATTAGCCACTAAGAAAAATATGTTAAGATTTCACATATCGTCAATTACATCTTGCACTGTAGAAACAGGTGCATGGGTAATATACATACTCTGTGGCTGGATTGTGGCTAACTGGGTAATGTAGTCCTCAAGTCTTTGCCACTGAATTCTTCTCCTTTAGGGCTAAACCTCATCAAATCCATCTGTAGTTCAGGCTTCCAGTTCTCATGGGTCCTTTGAAAACTGGAGAGATCAGAGGAACTGGGTCGTCACACACTGAGGTTGGCTCATGCATTCTCTCTTCATGGTTTGTTTATCCTGACAAGTGAGGGGAAATTTTCCCTAGGATTGAAGAGGCAAACTGATGTATTATAACTGACAACATGTTGTTTAGGTCCAGACAACTATTGACTCTGAATCTTGCCTTTCAGGTGTTACAGGCAACCATACAACTACTGAGGGGTATTCCCAAAGTTGGGGTGATGGGAGTATCTATCACCTCTCATAGTTTGAAAAAGAGTATCTTCCCTTGCCACTGACACTGCCTTGTCCCAATTGCCATGGAGTGTGGCAGTGCTGGATTCTGGATGAAGAATGAATGAGTTCAAATCCTGGCCCTTCTAAATTACTGGAATCTATTTCCAAACAAAACATAGCCATTTGAGCATGCTTCCATGCCTTAACAGCTGCTGGGCCATCTCTCCCTGGCGCTTTACCCGCCCAGCAGCTATGATGACTCTTGACCCTAATTAGTCACTGCGGTGGGAACACATTAGAACTTGGGCTTCTATTTCTTCTTTACTGAGTATTTGTTTGCTTGCTTGTTTTTTTTTTTCAAATAAAAAAATTGGAGGCTGGATATTTTTCCCTTCATGAAAAGATTTGCAAGCACTCTCTAGGGATGGGACAAGGTCTCTATAGCTCTGAAGTCAGTCATACACATTTGAGGCAGAAATACTGTCAAATGTGACCTTCGGCATACATAGTTTTTAAAGGGCCAATATTGGTTTAACACCTTTTTATGATTTTGAATACCTTTCATTATAGGATTGACAGGGAATGTCCAAGGGAAGTTGTGCTCATATTTAGGAACCCTATTGGCTCTTGTAAATAAGTGCAGTTTGCTATATGAAAGGCCCTCTACTAAAATATATGGAAGGAGAACATGTAAGGCTTAGCTGTAAAGGACATACTCTGAGCTAAATGATGTATTCTGATCTCTCCCCTATCCTTGGACCAATCATGTAACTTCACAGAGTAACTCCTCAACTGTAATGCCCAGATGAGAGGATAATACCTACCTTGATATATACTCACGAGAGATAAGTGATAAGGGCATAAAAATATTCCAGTGTTATAAAATGTCCTTCGAATATAAGCTGTTGCATTGTCAGAAGTTAGTGATATTTAGTAAATAACATTTATTTGCTTGGCAATACTATTTTAAAAAAAGGAGAGAAAGAGTCTGCATTACTCTGCCCAGTTGACAACTCACATGGGACCCCCTCACTCTACATAAAGCACAGAAGCTGAGTACTGTAGTGTGTGTGTGTGTGTGTGTGTGTGTGTGTGTGTGTGTGTGTGTGCGCGCGCGCGCGCGCGCGCACGTGCGGGTGTGCTCGCCTTGTTCAACAGAACACGTTAAATCTCTGGGTTTTTTTCTGAAAAAGAGGTTAAACAGGGGTTGTTTTGTTGTTATTTTTCTATTTTTCAATTTAAAAAGACATTTTCCCCATCAATTCTATATTCATTTGCAATTAATCTCAGAGTTTTGAGAGACCTGAGTCACCAGCTTTGTTAATGTGTGGTAGATACTAGAGGTTTTTCAATGTAGAACCCAGAAAGTATCCAAACCATTGACTGTGCAGCCTCTCCATCCAGTCCCTCCCTACTCTCATCCCTGCCTCTTCTTGAGTTGTTGTCATTGGCAGCATTTTCCTTGTGGTTACTCCTCGGTGTGATGGTTTGCCAGCCTCTCCCCTCTGGGGCTGGTCTTCTCCCGCCTCAAGCATTCCAGCAGTGCCTCTCGGGTAAACATGGCTTTGCCCAAGCTGCACCAGAGCATTACCAGGAGCTATGGCTTGGTGAGTTTACCAAATAGCAGACCAGAAGCATTTCCTGGGTGCCTGCTGGAGGACATCCTGCATCCCTCTTTACAATAGGAGGTAAATGAGAGGGGAGGGCTTGATGTTCTGAAGTGAAACGCCCACCGCACAGATACGGTAATGACCAAGATGCCAGCTGCTCTCCTGAAGATCTCTGTGAGGCATAGCCAGCCCTCCACCCCCGAGAGAAAACCAGAGTAGAGTGACTGGGGCGGCTTTCTTGAATACATGGAGTCATAGCTAAGCGGTTTTCACATGACAAAGAGAATTCCTGGGGAGAAAGGATGCTCAGATAAATAGCCCATTTCATTCATATATTATGGTTATTTTTTACCATAAATGTAGGTGTTAAATGATTGAACTGAAAAATAAAACACAGTAACTTGCTTAAATAGGCTAGCTATAGAAATTTTATGCAGAAAAATATTCCATGTTTCACTTGGTCTGATATTGTCAGGATATTCACTTTTCTCATGACAAGTGTCATAGAGAGTGGCATGAGTCCTGAGGGGTCCCCAGGAGTAACCCATAGAGCCATAGAGAAGTGGGCCTAGAGAGGGCAGGAAGCCCAGCAAGGGTGGAGCGCCTGTCTTACAAGCTCTGGTAAGAGACAGCTCCCACTATGGACTTCTCCCTTATGGAAGCAGAGCTGGAGTCCGTATTCCTGGGTATGCCAGGCATCAACTGAGAAAGACAGGGCCATGCCAGGCACTGTCCACATAAGCTTGGTGATTCGCATGACAATGTACATGGCAAACATTCAGGATGGTGCCATAAACACTGGACCATTCTCCTTACTGTCCACGTTACGTCCCTCTCCCCTCCCATTTCTGAGTATAAATTTAGTAAGAGATC